ACAACAATGATTGCTTGTTATTCTAAGATTAATTATATAGCTCTAGAAATAACCAACGCCCGCCTTGGAGAATTGTGGCTGAAAGCTGTAAAGACGGTCGTCCATTTCATTTCATTTTTTGAAGGAAATGAGCATGAATCATATGCCAAAGAAGAGCTGCTTTCTTTGCACACAAATGAAAATATAATAATGTGGAGAAAGTTGCTTGTTTTTCTCCTTTATCTAAACACACCGTCATCTCTGAAGCCTGGAGACATACTGTTTTAGGTGGTTTGTCTGCCTGCTCTCCAACATAGGAATTAATTTTCACTTTTAAAATTTCTAAATATGGTTCTTGCAATTGCAAGGTCAGAGCAAGCAGGCAGAACCCTGCAGTTAGGGGCATACTAAGGTCTTCAGGATTATTACATGTCCCCAGGCATTGCTCATGAGAGTCTCTGGATGAGGTCAGAGCTCATTCTGGTCCCCTGGGGCTCATGGTATATTCAGGGGCAGGGCTTGGGGGGGCTTCTTGCTGCTCAGGGATCCTGGCTGCTTAGCGTGCTGCTGCTCTGTATCAGGCTCTGGGGATTTTCAGGGAAAGTTAGGAATATCTTTCGGAAGCACACAAAGAAATAGCAGTGTTAAGTGAGATAAGCGCTGGAAAACATGTGAACATATTCGCTCTTTAATTATCAGACTTAACAGAAGATAAGGATGAATTCAGTAAGAAAACCCATGAATATCACAAAAGCCTAACTTGTAACTAATACCTGGAATCAATTTCCAGTAATCTTCTAATGAGATTGACGGAGGACATTTCTATTTCTCCTTCCTGCTTCAGGCCTTTAGAGTGATATAACCTCCTGCCAAGAGCCTAGGACCAAAAATGAGATTCAGTAATCTAAATCCACATCTTCTCAACTATTATAAAGAACTGCAGCCAGCGTGCACTTATTATCTCTCCCTAGCCGTGGTTTCATTTTTTTCCACAACTTTAGATACTTGCATCCATCACTGTCTGAAAATGTTAAATGGAAGATTTCAGGTATACGCTATAAATCTTAAAAAGCTTTTGTTTCACTGTATTGTTATTGTTTTATTAGCTAGCATTGGGATTTACTTAGTAATTTGTAAATCAACCTTCTTCTTAGGCATGTGTTTACAATACCAAATTCAGTCTGTGTCAGATCTGTACCTGACCCTGAGAGTAAAGAACTAGAAACTCAGATGTGAACTTCCAGAACACAGTCTTTCACCAGTTACAGCTTTGTCAAACCTCCCTGCAGCTTGATAGAAACCTAGCATGTCAGATTCAGGGGCTAGTTTACACAGTGGCCATGATACAGAGCCATGGAGGCAGACAGCTCTTACCCAAACACTGAGTGGCTTCGACACATGGACCAGTGTGGCCCTGATTCATTTCAGCCCACTTGACCCTTCCTCATGCCTTGTTTCTGAGGTAGAAAAAGTCTCACTGTGTCTAGTGTGGGATGAAGATTTGATGAGGTTCTGCACGCAGACAAAGCACATCTCTCCAGCTAGCCGGATAGCTAGCTCGGTTGATTAGAATGTGCTGCTAATTGTAAGTGTGTCAAACAATGTCTTCCACAGAAAATCAACAAATGTTAAAGCATTGATGAGTAAGGGAAAGAAGAAGGGGCTGGGAGGAGTTGGAGGTGAGAATCAAGCAAAGACACAATATCTTGAGTCCTCATTGATAAACCAAGCATTAGTCAACTAACAAAAAAAACCTTTAACCCTCAAATTCTTTCTCCCTTCTCTCTCACTCTCCAATCCCTCCCTCTGAAAGACATTGCCTCCTGAATTGTGAAGATGTAAAAACTGAGCTTTTAATGTTCATTTTTTAATAAATGTTACATTAACAAAGGGAGTATATGCCATTTATCTTGAGAGTAGAAGATAGGAATGTGCAGGTATTCAGTATAGAAAATGACCTTCCCCTATTCTCCAAAGGATACTTTAGCTTAATACAGAAGACCAAGGCCAGTCTGAAGCATCTGGAACAGTCCCTTTTTGGCGACAATTCTTTCAAGACAAAATGCCTTAGAGAATCATTTTTAGGTGGCTAGCCCCTGGGGGATAGATGAATAAAAAAATATAAAAAAAACTGTGATAAAAGCAAGTCTTATATTAGAAATTGAAGTATTTTTTTTTCTTGTCTAAATTCATAAAAGAAAAAAGTGCACTTACTTCATAAGAATCTTTACTAGAGACAGAAATGAAATAGACAATGTAAAACTCGTTAAGAGTCATCAGAGAGATACACCGAAGATAAATGCAGTTAGTGTCATCCTTCTGTCTTCAACCTTGAAATTGTACGTGACTCAACAAGAAGCCAGCAGAGTCAAGGTTATAGAATGCCTTGGTTGTACAACCATGGAGATAAAACAGCTCTGACTCAGGAGTAATCAGCCTTTAATTTATGATGTGTAAAGATTTTTTTTTTAGTTAGTATAAATATCTCTCATTTTGAATATATGCCTTATAGGTTTAGCTTATAGGTTTAGTTATCTGTCTGAGTATATCCAAAATACAAAAGCACATGCTCTCATAAATTCAGCTGCGTGCCACTGTAGAAAGGAGAATGGTGCTGACATGCTACTCAGACCTGTGCTTCAAGTAGGGTGTCCCCCAGCCAAAGAATGGATACAGAAACTGTGGTACATCTACACAATGGAGTACTACTCAGCCATTAAAAACAAGGAAATCACGAAATTTACAGGCAAATGGATGGAACTAGAAAAGATCATCCTGGGGGAGCTAATGCAGACCCAGAAAGACACACGTGATATATATTTACTGGCAGATTTTAGTCACATAATACAGGATAGACATAAAACAACACACAGACCCCAAGAAGATATATCTGATGGAAATCTTAGGCTTTTCGTGGGCCCAATAGTTAGGGGAGAGGGAGATACCTGTGACATAGGCTATGTTGCCTGCTTTTTGGTCACTTCCCCCTGGTGAGACTTCCCTACAAGGCCACAACAGAGGAAGAGGAACTCAGTCCTCATGTGAATAAATGAACTTGGGTGTCTGGGTATGGGGGGTGGGGCTCCGGGGCTCCCCTATTCTGAAGAAAAGGGTAAAGGATATGCAGGAGGGAGGGTGGAACTGGTTGGAGAAGAGGGAGAATCTTATGACCGAGATATAAACCGAATCAATTAATTAAAAAAAAAAAAAAGAGGAAAAAAAGCTAGAGCTTCAGTCTGCCCAGGGATTGTGGTGACACAGATTTCTCCTAGAATAAAGAAGTAAGCCAAGCAGATGAGGGCAGTTTGTTTCGCTTGTGTGTGCGGTTTTGTTTGTGTTCTAACACACCATGAACTCTAGCAGGCATGCTTGCAGTTCAGAGCACAAGTTCCAGGTCAGGCACCATGGATAGGAACAGTGACACCTAATCTGGGCCTGTGGCTGTCACGTGGAGAGAGAGATCTAACGTAAGTAGTGCAGTGCACTGAAGGCAGCAGCTGAGTTTCACGCAGCACCTCATGGTAGCAGAGAGAAAGGGCACCAAATCCACCCAGAATTGTCAGGAGAATGCCTCAACGTTAAGAGGATCAGAGAGACACTGAATATATAGTATAGCAAGAAGATCAACACAGCCAAATAACTAGGGCCCAAAGGGGCTTGGGGAGGCTGAGGTACCAACCAAGGACCATGCATGGGCTGGACGTAAGCTCCCAGCTACACAGATGTAACAGATGGGCAGCTCAGGCTTCATTTGGGTACCCTAGTAAAGGGAGCAGGGGCTCTCTCTGACATGCACTCTGTTGCCTGCTTTCTGATCACACATACCCCACCACTGCCTGTGGGATTGCCTTGCCAGGCAACAAGAAAAGAGGATGCAGACATTCTGATGCCATCTGATGAGCTGGGGTCGATGGGGAAAGAGGGTGGGAAGGTGGGAATAGGAAGAGAGAATGGAGAGGACTAAGATCAGGATGTAAAGTGAATAAATAAATTAATTAAAAAAACAACATTGTAATCCACCGTCCCATTTACCACACATATATATTATCACATACACACATACATATACACATACATGCATACATATACACTTAAATAGCACATATCGTTTCTGGTAATAAATTCTATACCATCACATTTTCAATGTGTCCAAGACACATTATTTAAATAACTGTGTTTGTCTAAACATTTCCAAGTCTATTTCTGACATGAACTTTCAGAGCTGTGGGATGTTTTGTTTTGTCTTAATGAAGAATGTATCTTTGCAAATCATAATGAAATCATAAGGATATCAATAGCAGTAGAATTTCTGGAGACAAAAGAAAAATTAAATCCTTTAAAAATGTTTTCCTGTAAAACTGGAATAAAATGAAGTAGAACCAATTAGAATAAAAAAAAAAAAAACAGAAGCACTTAAGAAGAAACTTAATTGTTGCTGAGAGTATTAGAATCTGATGGCTTAAAAAGAACTTAATTAAATTTCAAAGTAAAATAACTTCAGTTTAATGATGTCCTTTGTACTGGGAAAAGATAATGTTCCATAGAGCGTATCATGTATTCCTTGCCCTACAGTTGAGTAGTAGTTAAATTGCTTATTATTTTCTTATTTTGATTATTGTAACACTGTATGTTACTAATGAAGGGATTATTTGTGAAGCGTTAATTCTGGTCTTGGGGCTGTGCACATACACGGTAATGTAATCTCATGAACGCCCTGTGAATATTTCAGTGGGCAAATAGAAGGATCTTACTAAAAGCTGGGAAAGCCAAAGATTGTTTCCCTTCTACGGCGGAATATACCTACTTAGAAAGAAAGTGCTGTTTTAGGACAGTGTCGGAAACACTGGAAAAGCCATGTAGTTTATCGAAAGGAAGAATGGTCTCAGTACCTGTTAATGAAGAAGCAAGAGAATTAGCCACAAGCTCACTTGCGGAGTACACATCACACAACCCCTGGACTAAATGCCAGTGGAAGACAGAATATTTTGTGCAAGTTTAAGACTCTTCTGCTTCCCCCACAGCCTCATCATGTGTTCAACATGCTGAAGAAGTACGTCCGTGCTGAGCAGAAAGACAGACAGCATACCCTAAAGCATTTTGAACATGTGCGCATGGTGGACCCCAAGAAAGCTGCTCAGATCCGGTCTCAGGTAAGCTCTGGCATGAGAATCATCTGCAGCTTGCACAGTCCATGGTTATTGCTTCTTCCGTTGACGGGAAGAGGTTTTGCTACCTCCAGAGCACCTATGGTAGGGCTGTTGTGCCTCTGTGGAAAGAGTTCTTTAAAAAGCTGACTACATGAGGGAGATACTGTCTCAAGGACTGGGGAGCAAAGAGATGCCTCAGCAGTTAAAGGTGCTTGCTATTCTTGCTGAGGACTTGAATTGAGGGCACAGCTCCCACATTTCACCACCATCTAGAACTCTCATCTAGGGGATCTGATGCCATCTTCTGGCTTCCATTAGTTCCTGCACATTTATGAGTGCACACAAACACATATACATATATCCATAAATAAAAATAAATCTTGTACAAAAGGTAGAGCATTTTAATAATGTGTGCCTTGGCGTTTTCTAAGTCTCCTCCCAACCTGAAATATCTACAGCAGCTGAGACTTTTAAAACTAGTCATTAATCACTTAAAGCTAGCCACTAAGCTAGTCATTAATCATTTAAAGCTTGCCACCAAGACTAGGAAGTGGTTCAGTTGAGATAGTGGGAACAGATGCCATAGGCTATGGCAGCCCACGAGTAATTCTAGCACTCAGAAAAGCTTAGATGGGATCCCTGGAACAAGCTGGTTCGCTAGGATATCCGTCTTAGTGAGCTCTCATTCCAACTGAGAGACCCTTCCTCAGTGAACACAGTGCAGAACACTAGAGGAAGAATCTCAATGTCAACCCCCAGCCGCTATGCACATACATGCACATTTGCACATGTTCAGCTAAACATGTAAATAATCATACACATACATATGTACATATGTACAGAAATAAATAAAAATTCAGAATAAAGCCACCAAAATGGAAGAAAGGATAACGTGATAAACAGAAAGCTGTATAATCTACTCGGCCAAATTCTGCCAGATGACAGTCTCCATTGTAAGTGCAATGTTTAGGTTTAATGGAATCTAAATGAGGCTTTGTAATGTTTTCTGCTTTCTCATTCCCAGAGGTTGAAAAACCAAGGCCTACCCTCAGAAATCTAAGATTTTATATTTCCTTGACTAGAATAAAGCCAAAAGCATTCGTATTCTTCACAAAATATCCAATCAAATTAAAATCTTTCTATGTATTAGAAAACTTGCAGAGCTATTTATGTGGGGAAATAGCATATTTAGAAAGCATGGATGTTAGGAGTCTGGTGATGGATATGGCCTTGGAAATAGAATGTGGCAAGCATGCAGTCTGCTGGTGAGTTAGAGAATAAAAGGATGCAGACAAAGAAGAAAAAGCCCCTTCAGTTTCATGTCCCAGCCATGCTGGTCAGCTTTATCAGGGTGTGTGTATGTGTGTGTGTGTTGGGGGGGGTGTCACTGTTTCCCTAGCGGAGATTGTTCACCAAGAGTTGTCACATTCTAACAGGTTATGACACACCTTCGTGTGATCTATGAGCGCATGAACCAGTCTCTGTCCCTGCTCTACAATGTCCCTGCCGTGGCGGAGGAGATTCAAGATGAAGTTGGTGAGTGAGCTGTCTTGAGAACTGTGCATGAGATAGGCCTTCCCCCAATACAAATGAGGGTTGAGAGTCTCCTGTGTCCAGTCACCCATGTCCATGTGCCTACAAGTTGAACAGCACATTTTGTGGGTTGGGGGGTTCACATGTATGTGAGTGAGTGTGAAAATGCTTTAGTGTGCACATGGGAACCATGGGAAGGCATCAGGGTGTTCTGCTTGACCGCTGTCATTCATTCCCTTGAGACAGAGTCTCTTACTGGACCTAGAGCTTGGATGATGGCCAGCGAGCGCAGTGATTTTCCTGTCTCTGCCCCTTCACCGTGCTAAGATTACAGGGGCACATGCTTTTTTCATAGATGCTGAGGATTTAAGCTCGGGTCCTCTTGCCTACACAGCAGGCACTGTCACCCTCTATGCCATTAACTTGCAGTTCCTGTGAGTCTGCAAATGTAACCAGTATAGAGAAGATCGTGAAGCAATGACCCACTTATTATTGAATCACATGTCAACGGTTATATTCTAATTTATCCTATCTTGTAGGTAGATATTTACTGTACTGTACTACTTCATAATTAAGGACAGTAGAGATTTTAGTCTGTTCTGTATATTAACTGTTCACATTTTTTATTCATTTTTCACTCTTGGGTTTCTTGTGACTGCATTTTTCAATCGTAATTGGAAGACAGAAATCAGTAACAAGCTTTCCATATAAGAAGCTGAGAACTTATTATATAGGTGGACACAGTAATGCACACCTGTAGTTGTGGCACTTGGGAGGCTGAAACGGGAATTGCTTCGGCCAGCTGGTGATGTATAGTGAGTTCAAGGCCAGCCCAGGATACACAGTGAAACCTGTCTCCAGAAAAAGATAAAATAAGATATACATAAATGAAGGAAATTTTCCAAAGGGACTAAATAAATAAATAAAAGACTCATGATCTTACTGAATTGAAGTTAAAGTGTCTAGATGTATGTATTAAATTAGCTTAGGCCTCTTGTCTTGTGTGACTGATTTTAAGGTAGCATTAACAGTATCCTCAAACTATAACACTATAAGCCATTATAAAGGAGGAAAATGGGCTACTAAACTTAAACCCACTAATTATGGTTGGCACTTTCTGATTTCTAATTTGTTCCTAATGGAACTTCTAATTTGGCAATACACTACTCTAAACATTACCCACGAGTGAGTCAGACAGATGGTGACTCAAATCCCTATGTGTTGCAAAATGCCCAAGAATGGGGCAGCCCAGGAAACTTAAAATCCCAAAGACAGAGAGAGAGAATGAGAATCTTTCTTTCTTTCTTTCTTTCTTTCTTTCTTTCTTTCTTTCTTTCT